ATTAACGGCAGTGGGGATTCGTTGCGTCGACCACACGACACCCTCTATCCGCTAAAGTTGGCACTAATATTGCCGACAAGCGGCGGTCGCTCGGTCGGTACATTTCGCTTGCGGTCTCAAGCCTCGGAGTTTGTTTTGTTTGTTCCATATCTCCGTTTCTCAAATTTATTATCATATTTTACAGGAATCACGGTCATGGAAGCTCTTGGTCCTTGGTTCATTGTCGTTCTATCCATCTTACAAGTCGCTACAGTGACCGCATGTCCCGGTGAATGTACATGCAGCTTCAAGGAGACCACTTGCAAGAACACGACCTGGACATCCATACCAAGTGGCATCAGTAGAGATACTACGGTTATCAGCATTTCCTACAACAGCATACCTGCACTTCTTGGCAGAGAGATTGCGAATCTGGAGAAACTCACAGACATATTCATGAATGATAATAACATTGAAACAATAGAACCAGAATTCTTCCAGACGCTCAAAAAACTGAGACGCGTACATTTAAACAACAACCGGATCTTAAGTCTTCATTACCAGACATTTCTAGGCGCTAAATCTTTGAGGTACTTGTTCTTAGAAAACAACAAAATCAGTTATATAGATGTGCGTTTGTTTCAATATATTAAAAAACTGAAAGTATTAGATATCAGTAGAAACCGCCTGACGAAACTAGAGCCAAATATTTTTCAATATAATCATCTATTATCATGGGTTAATTTCAGGCATAATCAGTATATAGACACTATTGGCTGGAAAACAATTTTTAAATATTCGTTAAACTTTTCAGATATTCAATTCTGTGACGATAAATTTTCTTTTTATGAGACCTACACAAGACTACCTAAACACAAAAGCAATAATGAAGTCTATTTAGGTTTAAATTCTCAGTTAATCAGAGAAGATGATAAACTTGAGAAAGGCGGGAAATTAGTAATTAAGTACTCTTTTATTAAGTCTGAGAACCTAAATTTTGAAGAATATGATGCTTTCATAAGAACAATAGGATATGATGAATACATTACTATAATAACCAGAGAAAATTATTACGTTAAAGTTTTGACAGATTATCCAATTTTTTGCTATTGCGAGAGTTACTCTGTTTGGTTTTGGTGTCATCAATTGAAAGCGAAATGTTCGAACAATACATCAATATTGATTACGTTTACCGTCTCAAAGTGCAGCTCTGATAAACTAAAGAATTCAAGTCTGCCCATGTCGGCATTGCCAAACGCAACAGTAACAAAAGTAGATTCCGAATCAGAAACAAATGAAGACTTTAGTCACGCTGACAAAACTAACAACAATAGTAGCAGCAGAAAAGCATTCTTTATATACGCATCGATTTCCTGTGCAATTACATTAGTTATGATCATAACAGCCAGATATATTTATAAAAAAACAAAATCGGACAGACTACAAGACACTTCAAGCGCAAATCGTGTTATTGAACTAGGAAATGTTAACAATGTTTCGGCCAATAACAAAGCCCAGTCAGCATTGTTACAAGAACCCTGTAATTATTGTCAGGTAAGAAGGGCTTAAGTTTTTTTTTTTTCAGTTTTGATTTTAACCAACAGCATATATTCCTGCTGAGTTTTGTCTTTTTCGAAAGTATTTGAAGCCTTAAACTCAGCCAATATACAACTAAAACTACAAGCCAGAAATAACGACACCTAGTTGGTATAAATATTATCACGTGTGAAAGCCAGAAGGAAAGAGACCACAAGGAAGGCCAAGGCGTAGGTGGGTGGACTATATTAGAATGGATCTTAGAGAGATAGGATGGGATGGAATGGATTGGATAGATCTGGCTCAGGACAGGGACCAGTGGAGGGCTCTTGTGAACACGGTGATGAACCTTCGAGTTCCATAAAATGCTGGGAAATTCTTGAGTAGCTGCAGAATTGGCTTCTCCTCAAGAACGGCAAGCTCCATGAGTGAGTGAGTGAGTGAGTGAGTAAGTAAGTAAGTAAGTAAGTAAGTAAGTGTGCGTGACTTATAGACGGGTTCTGGATTGGTGACAGGATTTATTGGACTCTTATACAACTTGTTACTACGCACAATTCACAAACCACTATTTGACACAAAAATGCCCAATTTTTCTGTGACGTTCTATAAATTACTTGGGGAATTTGTACTTTTTATAAACTTTCTTCATTTGTTATATAAAATGTTGATTACAGAAAACCTAATGTTTATTACAAAGAATGTACACTACAGTACAACCCCGATTTAACGGACCATTGGGGTGGAGGTTGTGTGCGATATTGCCGAATGTCCGTACTGCACAAAACCAAAAGTCTGTTAAATAAAAAGTGACATAATTTGAAGCACAATGCAAATCGAATTTATGTGACCGCTCATCTCCAATTAGTGCCGAGATAAAAAATAGATGTAACTATACGGCCACTCCCCCCATACGTCTTCATGGCTTAGTACTTAATTAGTTAAGTACAAGTTCTTTACGTCTTTATGACTAATTATAATAAATTAAAATGTCCCTCTGTACAGTATATAGAGAAGGCGTTTCGTCAGATTTCGGAAACACTGGGCAAATGGAGAAGACCAGGCACTGTTTTCAGGTAAAGATAATTCTGCCAGAAAATAAATCTGACAAACAAGTTCCTCTGTCGTTAGTTGAAGTCATTTTCATGAAAATTTCTTTCTTAAAAGAGTTTCCTGAAACATGTGTTTTGTTTGTTTGTGAGCAAATTTCTCAATGTTACCAAGCATAATATTATATGTTATATTCAAAATATGGATCCATATTAAAAATAATTTCAGCATCTAAGCACAAATAAGGGTCGAAACATTTCATGTTTAAGTTTTAATTAATGAAAATAATATAAATGTGTATATTTTTATAAGAAATTGTTGTGTCGACGGATGTAAAAGTTACTCAGCGTATATGACACACAACCAATTGACCTAATCCTTCCAGTCGCACTATGGCCCTGGGGTTCACTCAACCTCTAACAGAAATGAGTACCAGGAATTAATTAAATAAGTTTCGTGGGGAGTAAAGCGCGGCCGGTGTGTAAGGCTGACAACCTTACCGCCATCTTTGAGCCGATTGTCTAGACAATGTTGGACCCTCAACTTCTCACAACCCTATGGGCCTTCACGGCCTGTTACAGGGACAGCTTTACTTACTTTTACTTATATGACACACAAGAGAAAGCAACATATAAAGATTTTAATCGTTTCTTGCATCCTGTTGTGTGTTTAATTAATCGTAGAGTGAATTTACCGACTACACAACACGTTTTTTATTATTATCACTACATGTTTCGACCTCAAGAGGTCATCCTCAGGTGTATGAACACGGCTGTATAATTACACGCGGTCACATTCACTTTTCACTCATTCGACCCTGTATCTTATCCAGACTTACGCTCACTAATATATCGAATAGAATATTAGAATAATTTAACCTGTGTTTTATAAAAAGAACTCGATATATTAGTGAGCGTAAGTCTGGATAAGATACAGGGTCGAATGAGTGAAAAGTGAATGTGACCGCGTGTAATTATACAGCCGTGTTCATACACCTGAGGATGACCTCTTGAGGTCGAAACATGTAGTGATAATAATAAAAAACGTGTTGTGTAGTCGGTAAATTCACTCTACTATTAACATATAAAGATTACACGTGAAACCTTTTAAATGGTACAGACTGTACCTTGTAGGAAGGTCAATAACGGAGTACTCCGCTGATTGTCTAAATCCAGAGATAACACAGGATAGACGGCGCAAGCTTCTGTCTGGGCACTGTCACAGAACTACTAGCATTAGGTAAACTGTGCATACATAAGGAAGTCACGCCAACTAAAATACAGTAGAATTCTAAGGTCCAGACTGTGTAGGATACAGAAGTCCTAGTGAGTTCCAACATATCCCGCTAAGTACCGACATGAATGTTACGTCATCATAGTCCCAGGGCTTGTCCCGATTAAGTATCATGTTGTGTTTGAGGGTACGAACGTGGGTAAAAGGTTCTTCGCCCAGAATGACTGGGATTTTGAGCTTTGACCATTGTCCGGTATTCTAGAAACTAGAAAACACGACGTTTCGGAGACTGTGCCCGGTGATTGAGATTAGCTCTTTCTATGGGACCCAACAGAATAGATGTCTTCCCCCCTCACCTGAGAACTGAAATGGACCCAGTTTCACAAAACGTTGTGCTTCATAGCTTGTAGAATACCGGACGATGGACAAAGTACAAAAACCCAGTAATTCTGAGTATTATGCATCATCATCAGAACCCTTTAGAACCCCCAAGGTTCTTCACTGTTTCCGCTTCGCTCTGAAATTCTGGCCGGTAATACGATGTCATGTTGACGAGTTTTCTTGATAATAGTACCATCATCATCATCATCATCATCATCATCATCCTCATCATCATCGGCAACCAGACGGACATATTTATAATTTATTGTGGCTGATTTTAATAAATTACTATAAATCGATATACCAACGGCCATACCATGTTGAAAACACCGGTTCTCGTCCGATCACCGTATTTAAGCGCAATTGGGCGTGTTTAGTACTTGGATGGGTGACCGCTTGGGAACACCAAGTGCTGTTGGTATTTTTTAAAGGCCGCGCCATAGATCAAGCGGTTAGTCTTTGGTTTCCCACCGCGGCGGCCCGGGTTCGATCCCAGTTCTGGTCAAGTGGGATTTATGGTGGACAAAGTGGCGCTGGGGTGGGTTTTCTCCAATTACTTCAGTTTCCCCTGCCAATCTTCATTCCTCCAAATTCTCCATCATCATAATCACCTGGGGCAGGTACAATAGGCCAATCAGTGGCCGACGTGCCGAGTGAACCCAACTGGACTCCACCCCCCACTATGCGAATTAAAGAAAAAATAAATAAATCGATATGGTTTCGTGGAGCAAAGATGGCGAAATTAATCACGTGACTATGAGACGTATTCCTGATACGTATGCCTATCGACGGCACATAGATTAGTAGCAAAGTGACCTAGAGAGCGGAGTGTTGTGATGGGAGAGGTCTCAGCGGTGTTCTACTGTATGACAAAAGAAAGTAGAAAACTGCAACAGAAGTTGTAAAGTTCAAAAGCGGTTAAGTGAAGGTGCAGTGGATTGGCAATTTCAAAGTTTCCGTAATTAGCAGCGCTGCTGGTGTGTAAAACAGAAACTAACAGTGCAGTAAGGCTGTTCTGTTCAACGAGTTTCGGAGTTAACAACACCACAGTACACAGTGATCACTTCCGTGGGACAAGTACACGAATTGTAAGTAACTTAAGTGAATCTTCAGATACGTGAGGCTCTTATACAGACTAATGTAATGTCCAGGATTTAAAACACAGCTGATTCAACTCGTACGTGGCTCAGAGTCATGACATTAACATTGCATGTTATCGCACATCCATTCATATACATGATGATACTTCTGTATGATGATACTTCTCACTGTCATTACGAAATATCCCGTTACTTTCTTAACGAACTGTTGAATGCATTGCATGAGTGTAAGTTACGTAGTAGGTGCAAATTTTGTTGCAGTGTATCGTGATTATTGTGTGAGCACTGATAATATTCTGATGCTGATATGTGAAGTGTTGCATATCATAAGGCAGATGGTGTACGTTTCACTACTCATGCACGATGTTCTTGGGAGATGGCCTTAAACATCGGCCTCGACGTATCGTTCGATAACGTGTAGGACTGGAAAGGAATACAGGAAACAGCGGGGGAAGTTAATAGTACAGAAGCTTATGTAACAAATGATGTGATTTCCCGCTGAATTCTCGACAGATTTTTTTTTAAATTTAATTTAATAATATTTGTATAAATCGTACACGTTATTTTTTTGTGTGAAAGGCAAATACATAATATGACTTAAGTGACTTTTATCGCTTTGCATTTTCATGATTATACCGCCATTAATAAAGTATTCTGAAATTATGTAATTGCATCATGTAAGTGACTGAAATTGTGGTTTGGTGGTTGACTGAAGATTTGCATTGTTTTCCTCGGTCCTTTCTATCAAATCCTGAGATGTTAATTCATTCATCAGTAATCTGTCAGACGACAGGTCCCCAGTCTCTTCCAAAACAGTTCCTCCACTTGATGCGATCTAGAGCTTTCTCCTTCAAATAAAAATGTCCTCATCAACCTCAAAAAAATAATACGGGTTCCTTCCACATATTTTCCTCTTCATCATTCAGAATGCTTCCCTAGATGCTATATAAAACAAGCTATGCACTTACGTAAGTGCAGCGCAATACAATTCCGATTTATGGCACTTACAACTCACTGCTACTACTACTACTACTACTGCTACTAGTACTACCACTACTTACTACTACCACCACCGCTACTACTGCTTCCACTACTACAACTGCTGCTACTACTACTACTACTGCTGCTGCTAGTACTACCACTACTGCTGCTACTACTACCACCATCGCTGCAAACCTCTTACTAATAAGTGCCAATTTGTAACATATTTATAAATTTAAGCAATAAAAAAGCAGTAACACTTCGATTCATATTTGGGAGGTGCAGGGTTTTGAATCTTGGCTAAAATATCGGCTATCCTGATTAATTCTTTTCGTGGTTTTCCACAGTCCTTTCAGAAAAATGCCAAAGATTTTCGCGATTAGTCCAAGACTACTTATTTCCTGATTCCTTCCAAACCGTCATTCATCTCCGATCCATCGAGTCGATATTGTGTGTAGCTCCTGCAGGCGTCGTTAAACAACCCACAGAAAATCCTAAAATAGAACTGATATAACCTCCGCACATGGAAAACTTCTTCATGAATGTAATTTTATTTACAGGCGCAGAATGGTCGAGGAGAGAATGAGATGGGTACTCATGTTCGCCGTGGTGTTCCTGGTCTCAGCATCGGAGCCTTGTGCTGAAATGTGTTCGTGTTCACCCGGAACTGTCAACTGTAGCAATACAAGCCTCGTCAGGATAGCGTTCAAATTAGAGGAAGACACAGAGGTGCTTGATCTGTCTTATAACCTCATTGAAATCATCGATAATGAATTCTTCAGTGAGACAGATGTAACCCAAGTGAGGTCCGCCTATCTCAATGACAATAGCATAGCATCTGTTGAACCGGAAGCTTTCAGGTTGTTCGGAGATTTAAAACATCTGTACCTACAAAATAACAAGATTAACAGCCTCCATCCAAGTACTTTCCAATCTAATACAAATCTAACCACGTTAGATCTAAGCGGAAATATACTGACGACAATACATCATAAAATATTTGAAGAAAACCATTTACTCTCGTGGGTCAACATCGCAGGCAGCTCACTGAATGTTTCAACTATAAGCCCAACGATTTTTAGTTTCTCCCTTAACACTCTAGATATAGAAATGTGTAAAACTCCGAAATATTCTATAAATTCCTTTCAAAATATACAAATTTTCAAAAATTTTAATTTGACCGAAAGTGAAATATTCAGTGTTGAAACATTTATATCATATCAAAACACAGAACTTCAAGAACTATCCTCGGAGAATTATGTCTTTTCTAAGTTAAGTAAGTTGGGTTTCGATGGGTTCAGTATATTCAGATATGACGAGATACATGAGGCAATATTCTCTGCATCAAACTCTTCTCTGATATGCTTCTGCGCTCGGCTATCAGCTTGGTTCTGGTGTTATGAGGACACATTTCAGTGTACAATTCACATATCTGACATATATTCACTTTTAAACTGCAAAGAAACGTCCAGGGGAACATCGGATATACCGTCCCATATATTGGAATCTTCGCCAGTAGCTTCATCAATGTCAGTAACTGAGAGTCAAACAAATTGTACGGACAATGACAGTATTTCTGTCGTAACATCTTTTGTAGCGGATGAAGGCATGGATTTATGGCATATCATATTGTGCGTAGTTGTAGGTATAGGAGTAATATTGGTGGTTATCATAGGGGCTTTCATCTACATAAGGAGACGCAGAGAAAACACTCGCAACACAGAAAGAAGGGTCCAGTATATAAGTGTGCCTTTGAGCATCTCTGAGCCGTTACATTACGAAAGTGGTGATGTTACAAATTTTACCCAGCATCGTGTAATTCCATATGCAAGTGCGACGGTAGCTGATATTATACGTGATACTCGTGTGGGAAACGCACAGCTTGCTTCGTTTAAAGGCAGCTAACCATCCGAGAGCCTGCCGAAAATCGTTCGGCCGCTCAGGCGTTACTCGCATCAACTCGTCCCACACAGATTTGTACCGTACTCACCCAAGACGCTGAGCCCTTCTTGAGAAGCTGCCAGTTGTGCAACTACTCAAGAACTTCCCAGCATTCTAAGGAACCCAAATGTTCACTACAGTGCTCAAGATAGCCCTCCACTGGTTCCTATAATGAGCCAGATCAATCCAATCCATACCATCCCATTCTGTCTATCTAAGATTAGCTTTAATATTGTCCACCCACCTACACTTTGGTCTTTCCAGTGGCCTCTTTCCTTCTGGCTTTCCAACCAATATCCTACATGCATTCCTCTTTTCCACCATTCGTGCTACATGTCATGTCTATCTCATCCTCCTTGACTCCATCATTTAATTATACTTGGAGAAGAGTACAAGCTATGAAGCTCCTCATTATGCAGTTTTCTCCAACCTCCCGTCACTTCATCCCTCTTCGGTCCAAATATTCTCCTCAACGCCCTCAGTCTCTGTTCCTCCCTTAATGTAAGAGACCAAGTTTCACACCCATACAGAACCACAAGCAAAATTATAGTTTCGTGTTTTGTAATATTTATGTTTGTAGACAGCAGACGAGAAGACAAAAAGTTCTGGACTGACTGGTAGCAAGCATTACCCGAGTTCAGTCTCCTCTTAGTTTCCTCCTGAATCATGCTTTGCTTCGTTATCGTCTTTCCCACATTTCTGAACAGTGCCACAGAACATCTGTTTTCTATCGTTATGTCGTGACTCGTACCGTAAGGGTTTGGAAAGTTATATGAACGATATTGGAGCGAAACTGTGAGGTGTAGACTTGTTTCCTATAACTCCGAATCTCTGTAGCCCGAGGCCAAAATGGACGCGTTAAGCGTCCGTCTGCCCGCCTGAGCGGTCGGAAGGTTTTTGACTACCTCTCAGACAATCGCAATGCAGTAGTGAAACAACAGCACGCACTGCAACGCAGAAATGTGTATTTCCGGCAATAACAAAGAGTAGTGTAGCGAGAACTGCATTTAACTTAAGTATTTATACAAATTGTTTTGCGAAAGGCTGAGCCCCCGTCCAATGAGTGATACCGACTGTGTATAGGATCAAGAAGGTCAAAAAGTGGCCAAAGCTCAGAAAAATAATAATAATGATAACAATTTATTAAAATTACAATATATCACACATAAGAGCTCTTGTAGTGCCACTTAGAAATTGGCAACTAACAGAAGAAGGCAGAGCAAAGCACAGGTATGAGCTATAAAAATGACGTCTAGTGGTGGAAGAATATAACTGATAACAAGGAACGCATCAGAGATATGAGGCAAAAATGGACACTACGGCGCCATCTATTAGTATCGGGCAATAACTAATGATAACACAAGTTTTCTATCTCTGTTTAATATCAGTTCGGCAGTGTGTTCGTGTAACAAGGAGATAATATTGGACAGTTCAGACTTTTCGGACCATATATATAGACAGCGTGTGCCAAACTCTGAGAAGATTCAGTGTCAGTGTTATTGCTACCTGTTAACAGTGTGAACAGGCAGGGGAAACTGGAAAATTAAGAGTAAATGTACAGTATGCGCCAAAAATTCAGTGCTGAAATGAAAAGACGTCCTGTTGATACCACTGTCTCTTCATGTGAAGGCCCTTGTACGACAGAACCTTCTCAGATCCTGAAGAAATGGTCCGATCACCATGTCCCTGCAGCATTCTTGGGTGACGGTAAGAGCATTGCCTTCCTCATCCTCAATGAAATAGAGGCCTAATACAGTGTGTTCTGAGATGGCACACCATATCGTCATACGTGTACTATGTATTGGTTTCTGGACGATAACATCTGGCCGCTCAAAACCAAGGTATGAGCGGAAGTAATACTCAACTATGAATACCTTTTCCTCTGTCGAGAGACCCATTTCCAACAACTGTGCAACATAACTTCCTTTTCACTACTGGGAACACGTGCGGCTGGAGCTATTCCCCGTCGACAGACACACATGCGCGTTCGAGACGCGCGAGTTTCAGTTCTGAATAATTTGGCGCATACTGTATATGACACTACAAACTGAATAACCATGTAAACATGTGACGTATTATGGATACAAGCGCAGAGTTACTCACAACTGTGACCTAAATAAATAAATAGCGATTTAACTAAGTTTCAATTAACTAAGAGTTTTTATGTGTGACTACAATTTTAAGATATAAGTAAGATCCTTATCATTATACAGGGTTAGCCTAAGAGAAATAGGCAGTTTAAATGACTCTTGTTCGTGAAACTTATACGCGCAGCCCAAAAAAGTCGACAAAACGTGCAAGTTTAGAATTTCAAGTTCCACAAAATACTGTGTGGGAAACGTCTACGAATATTCCCTTACCGTTGCAATTACTGCAGAACCTCACTGAAAACGACAAAACCCTCCGTCACTCATTCTGTATGGACATGCAGCAACGGAGTGAAGTAAGTAATGATTTCTTTAACCGGCTAGTTTTCGGTGACGAATCAACGTTCCACATTAGTGGTACAGTGAACAAACAGAACGTTCGTATATGGGGAACTAAAACCCTGAGAGCTGTAGTAGAGCATGTGAAGGATTCACCTTAAGTGCACGTTTTTTGTGCTGTATCCCGTAAAAAGGTGTACCCATGTAAACTTCAGGGCGTACTTTTCAAACCATGTAAGTATCTCGGCCGTGCTATTAAAACTCTTCCTTCTGTAAAACTTTGAAAGTATCTATTTCTCTTAGGTTAACCCTGTATTTTAGCATCCTGTTGCACTGAGGTTCCACATATAGTCTATCGAATATTCCATCTATAATGCAACAATCAATAACATTGATTCACACTTTAATATCCATGGCCTGTTGCAGAGATAGCTTTACCTTTACTTTTTATTAGCGACGAAATATAATTTTTCTTATATGGCTTGCCATGACGAATTGCATTCTGAAGGTGACCCAAATGACGTGTGTGTTTTTTTCAAGAACCCACAGATTTCAAACATAAGTAACCACCACAAAACAAAAAAAAAACGAACTCCGTGGCTTTAGTCCGAAAGCGAACTATACCGACCGAGCGACAGCCGCTTTTCGGCGAAGTTAGTGCCAACTTTAGCGGATAGAGGGTGTCATGTGGTCAGCGCAACGAATCCCGACGGCCGTTAATCTCGGTTTTCTAGACCGGAGCCGCTGTTTCCTTGAAATAGCTCCTCAGTTATCCTCACGAGGCTGAGTGGACCCCGTTCCAGACCCACTACTTTCTCAGAAAATCTGGTAGCGCCGGGAACCTCTGGATCTGTAGCCAGGAACTTTGACCACTAGACCACAGAGGCGGTCAAGTAACCACGACGAAGAACTGAATTTGCCGTGCAGCTTTGTCTGCTTCATTATCATTTAAGATTTTTCGTTGTCCCTCCGTTTCTTCCGTGTTCTTATATTTGTAACTGCTTCGTCTTTAGCCCCTTTCACCTCTTCTTTCTTTCGTCGCACGCCTTTACCCTTTATTTATTTGAAAGCCTTACGAAATGAATAAAAGCAACCTTTTCGCTTTACTTCCTCTCTCCTTCTCTCCAATTTTCTTTGTCTGTTCTTATCCTTCTCATCCTCCCTCCGCACTGACGTCTGTAGCTTTCTGTCCAAACGTTCCTTTGTTTCAATATAAAACTTTCTTATCCTGAGAACAGAATCGTCCTCTCTACTTTGCTGTCTTCTCCTTCGCTTTGCTTGTTTCTATTCAATTTAAAACTCACTTCTGCTGGTTTCCCCTTATACATATATATCAAGAAGAGTACAGACTTCTGGGATGTGTAGTCCGTTAGTAGTTCACCGACGTTTCGGATGAACTAAATATTTACATCTTCAGGGTCGAAAAGTGAGCAAAATAACCTGCAAGAACCAAGTGCTCTGTTTGTTGCTCGTTACTTTCTCAGCATATTTTTAATCTTGGAGATGGAGGCAGTATGTTCCTCCGAAACGTCTATGAACTTCTACCGGACTACACGTCGTTACCTCCTAGAATGGAATACTAAGACTCATGGGGAAGTGGACGTATAGATCTATGTATTCATGATCTCAGCACTAGTTAGAAGTGAGTGCTCAGCTTCACGCTCCGGCCGCTTTACCCCCAGGGTTAGAGCCCCCATACCTATTCAATAGGAGCCTAGGTGGACCAAAGAAACGGTCTGGACGAAGTCGAAAGAAGAAAAATCTTGCCCCTACCGGGGCCCGAACTCCGACCACTTGGCCGTCCATCCCGTACCCAGGAGCCTTCCAGACACAAATACAGTAAAATTCACTTCATCCCCTTTAACTGTATGTAAAAGAACACCCGAAACCTTTTTCAACATTGTGATAAAAATCAATATATACAACATCAAAACTTTGTTCAGCGAGGTGTAAGAAATGTCATCCTAGCGAAGCCATCTAGCGAGCTCCTTCACGATGAGGAGAACGGATTTCTGGAGGAAGATGCTGCATACATTTGCCGACAGACATACTCGAACTGTGCCACTGTGAAACAGCGCGAGGCGAAATTCTGATTCTCTATTAACTTTCCAAACGTTATTCGAAAAAAAAAAAAAATATATATATATATATCTGTTGGTAAGGGAGAAAAGTGCAAAAACAGAAAATAATTTTATTTACACTTCATCGAACTAATCGAGTGTGCATCTATGTATTCCACTGAGTCAACTTTTTCAGAAAAAAAATTCTTCGAAAATTTTCTTATCATCCTGAGTTTATAAAGTTCACTTATCACTAAAGGTTAAGCTATCCCTGTAACAAGCCGTGAAGGCCCATAGGGTTGTGAGATGTTGAGGTTCCCACATTTTCTAGACAATCGGCTCACAGATGGCAGTGAGGGTGTCAGCCTTACGCGCCGGCCGCCATTTACCCCCAAGAATATTCCTGGTACTCATTTCTGTTAGAGGCTGAGCCGACTCCAGGGTCATAGTGCGGCTGGAAGGACTAGGTCAATTGTAAAAATCCAGTGACTTCATTAGGAATCGAACCTGTGACCTTCCGGCTTGTAGCATAGTGCCTCAAGCAACTACGCTACCGCGTGTCCCGGACTTCAAGATGATAATAAATAAAAAATCTTCAGGTGGTTGCATGTGCTTCGGATTACTGAGTTCTGGACTCGGCCCATCGTCCGTGATACAGGAATCCAGTAGTCCAGTGACTGGAATTAATTATTCTTAACGAGCAAAATTAAATACGCGCCCCACCAGCTTTTCATGTGAGGCTGGAAACAGATTCATTTTCCGAAATATTTCCTTGCTTCGAAAAAATGGAGAATGAACAAAAGCAATTCCAAATGAATCATACCGCAGTCAGAACCGTTCAGAATTTTAGCTGAATCTAATCTACTTCTTCATATGTAACAAATAATTAAATTGTAAATAAATAGATTACATGTCTTTTTCAGATAAACCGCAATTTCACGGATAATACATAATGATTATAAATTATTGTCGGCGTTTCCATTTATAAGCCACGGAAACACAGACAATAATTTAGAATTACTCTGTGTAAGAGTACTATGGCGTCTGGTTATTATACAGGATTTCACAGTTATTATTTACAAATAGGGCGTTACACTTCGCTAAAAGCGTATCATTACCGTTTCCAGGTAGATACTTAAAATCCGAAACAGAGTTCCGAGAACTTTTCCGTCTGTGGGAAAGCTTTGACAGAAGAAAAGTGGTGTGAGGGGTGACACGGTCGCACCCCACATTAAAGAGAACCCCTGCAGCGGTTCCGCCTTCCGGCTACTAGAAGCTTTGCGTGCCTGACAAGATGAAATCGATTCTGTAAACATCAGAAGGAAATTCTTATTGGATATCAACAAAATATACAAATTTACTGGTACCTACCTAAGTGACATAGCCCTATGAACTAATACTTTAATTCCTATATAGTTTTGCCTATGTAATCTCTGTCATTTATTGCTTCATTTATCTATTTATATACATATTATAGCGTGGACAGCCGTTGCTATGCAATAGACGAATAAACAACAGTGTTATGCAACCCGCTTCTAGGCAACGGCGAGGTAAACACGCCTATACAACAAGAGTTATTGTTGGAAACGATATTTTCTACTCGATCCATGCAGAGGGGTCATAAGAAAGACAATTGTGGTGATCACCCGTGAAACCCGTGTGGAGGTGGGGTCCAGTACCTCCACCGTGACCCTGCGAGTTGTAGGAGGCGACGATAAGGGAAGTTTCAAATCTGAGACAGTAAAATATGGTCGCGAGTCCCAAGGGACTCAGACAAGAGAAAGACTGCGCTGGCAAGGACCAGCAGCCTATACAAAAGACAGACCCGTCCTCTCGTTAGAAAGGGCGACTCACAAAAACAAGACCGTAATTGTCAAACGGTAATAAATATCTGGTCATGAGCCCCAGATGGGGCTCGACAACAAGACTTACTGACTGATTGACCGTCAGCAGCTATGTGACTTTGACTACTACTACGTACTTGCATTACACATTATATTTCCTATATTCGTACGCCGGTTGCAAATACAATGTTATTCTAAATTATTGTCG